ATCCTGAATGCCAGGCACAGAACAGAAATTATGCCCCAGATGATCTACGCTGTATTTGCAAGGACAAGCTCCTTTTCCAGGATTTGAGTTATGTCCAACGCGACCCAATGGACACCTCACCTGGGGCCATCTGCAGCATATGTTTTGATGCTATGAGGACCATTACACATACACGTGTTACTATTTCAGGGGCACAGCAAAAAATCCGAGGAAGGGAGAGAGAATAGTTTTGTGCAGTCCCTACCAGGAGGATGCTTTCCCAGGCCATCCAACGTATGGGCAGTACAGCTCTTCCCTGGATACGGTAGTAATCCCCACTGTAAAGATTCCTGCTCATGCCGAAGTCCGCAATCTTGATGGTGTAGTTGTTCCCCACCAGGCAGTTGCGAGTTGCCAGATCTCTGTGCACAAAATTCAGAGATGCTAAATACTTCATTCCAGAGGCAATCTGGGTGGCCATGTACAGCAGGTTAGAGTAGCTGCATTAAAAGAAAACAAAACAAAGAAAAATTAATAGAGTTCCCCACATTCAACTCTTCCTTGCATTTGATGTATTACAGTGACCTGTCAGGTCATTTTTTGCCATAACAGTGAAACTAAACTGTCTAGTTTCAGGGCACTAACACTTCTACCTGCCAGGCTAAGCCAAGTTCCTGAGCTGACTAAGCAACGGACAATTCAGGGCCCTTAGAATTTGACATCCCTTAGATTTTTTTTTCTTTTTTCAATATCAAGCATTAATCTTAAGATTTTCAAAGAGTTTATGCATAAAGCACCAACTTTTTGCAGAGAGACATGAAAAACTAAGCTGTACAATCTCAGAATCTCATATCTAGAAAACTGCTTAGCTTGGTTATTTCAAACACTGTCACTATTGCATGCTTACACTAATATAAGTACATCATTTAACATTAAAGAGAGCTTACTTTTTAAAAATATGTTTAATATTACTGACAATATAAACAGATGCATTTTCCATCTAATATAATTTTAATTCCCCCATTAGCAAAATGAAGATAATAAAGTTGCGTGATACACAAAGTTTGGACCACCTGACTTTAAGCATTCTTCACACAGTGTTATTCTGTGATGCTCGGCTTGTTTCTCACTGCGCGTGCTCAAATGCTTCACACAATCAAGCGTTTGTCACAACAAATCTAATAAACTGTTCACAGCTAGTGTTCTCCGATAAAGCTCCGAAAAAGGAAGTCTTAGTCTCCTCCTCTTTGTGTCCGGTGGCAATGAGAAAAGCACTACCATGTTATCTAAATTACAATCATGGAATGCATCTAATGCTAATGGAGCCAACCTACCTGCTCTAACCAATAGCTCAGCTGTCGCTGCAGAGATGCAGAGGCAGCCCCTCGCCCCGGTACAGCGCTGGCAGGAGGGTCTGGGCACCGCTTCCCTCCCAGCCTTTCAGCACGGCGAGCACCGCAACTCAGTGGCACTTAGCCCAGTCCCACGGCCAGCTCAGCGTTTCTCCTGATCCGAGCGGACCTGCTGTGCCCCCAGAGAAGGAACCAGGCCACCCACTTGCACCTTGTTAACCTGGTTGTTGGCTTTTCGCATAGGAGCGGGCACAGCCTCCAGACCCTACCTTCTCCCTTCTTCCCGCTCAGCTCCAGTTGTCTCCCTGCCTAGGGCTGTGGCTCTTTCCCGTTCAAGAAGTCCTGTCTCCCCTGTCCCACCTGCACCCTGGCAGGGTCCCATCAGCAGCTACCTGTTGGCTCCCTGCCCCTCTGCTCCACAGGCTCTGTGGGGCTTGATGCATGCTGCATAGACGGGCAGATGGGAGACACCTCTCCGCAGACTCACCTTCGTGGTTTACCAGATAGCCAGAGAGACAGCAGGGAGATGCATTTCAAATACCAAAGAGCCATAAGGACTTAAAAATGTGTGACCTCTCTGCAGGAAAGGGCTGGTCACCACATTTGGTGCACCAAGAATTGAGCTTGAGAGGCTGGCGAGATGGTTGGGCCTTGCCCTGTCAATCAGACACCCACAGGCACCAGCAGAGACAAGCTGCACTCTCTGGCATTGGAATCCATTTCACTCTCAGTAAACAAATCCTATACAGGCAGATATCTGAGCTCGTCATACCGGCCTCCTTTTTAACGTGAAACTGTGTCTGGCTGGAAGGGACAAAAGGAGAGGCTGAAGGATCAGCTGGAGGGAAAGAAAAACTAGAGGCAGAGCCAAGTAGCAGAAACTAAGGAAAAATGCGAGTGACAGTGCTGAAGTCCAATGAGAGGTGAGGAAGAAATAAAGAAGAAAGGACACTTTGAGGCTTTTGCCAGGAAAAAAAGCCACAAGTCTAAAGGTGAAAGCTGTTTCAGATGTGCAGAAAGGGCAGAAGACTGGAGAGAGCTGGAATATGTTTCTACTCAGATGCAAACCCTCTCCCATGCTACCGTTCCTGGTGCGTCATGGCTGCAGGATGCAGTTTAACACTTCCCGACGGGACTACTGACCGCTGCCAGCTACTGGCAGAAACACTGGTGTTGTCTTGACATGGTGAGACCCAGCCATCTCCTGTCCAGTCCATCAACAGAACTGGCTCTGCCTAACTGCCTAGTTCTTGAACTACAAATAAATCTAATCCTTTGGGGAGGTACACGACAAAGACTAAGCATTGCAGCAACTTCTGATCAGTGCAGTTAGTCCTACACCCTAACTCTCCTCTGAGGAAAGGATTTCTGCACTAGTAGAGATGCTTTTATGCTAGATTTAATCCTTCCATAGAGGAGGGAGCTAAGTGCCAGCACTGACAGAAAATGGTTTTCTTTGCCAAATATTCTCCTTCTGTTGACTGATGAAATCTTTCCTCAGTGAAGCTCCACATTCAACTCCCCCCATGTGATATTTTTTAGACATCCAGAGAACATATGAACCTTCTTAAAAGCCTAAGAGACATTCTTGATTTTCATCCCAAAATTTTTGCTGTAATGCAACTGGCTTTCCATATTAATGAAATATTTGATGCAAGCCCACTAACATAAACAGATGGTCATATCAGTAAACAATACATCTAAGACAGTCACCATGACCAGAGCAGCCCACAGTCAGGGACACTTCATGGGAACACAGACCTCCAGAGGCCTCGAGAACAACCTCCCATGCCAAGCGGGACCAGTGTCCACAGTATGTGCCGTGGCAATGGCCGGGTTGGAGGAAGGTCACTGCCTGGAAGGCACAGCAGGTGAAAGCGGTACCTCTGTATTACTGATTTGTCCCAAAGATGGGCAGCTCCTCTTACCTGACGCAGGGAATATTGTTTGAAACGGCAAATTTGCTGTAGATCTCCCTCTGCGACAGGAACTGATTGAGGTCTCCATTTTCCATGTACTCTGTTATCATGCACAGTGGGTCATCACGCACACACACCCCCAGAAGCCGGATGATATTTGGGTTCTTCAGCCGTGACATGATCTTGATCTCCTTCAGGAAATCATTTCTTGTAAAAGAGAAAACACAGGTTCGAATCCTAAACTATTCCTTTGTTTAAGGAAAGCAGAAGTGGCATGTAAGAAAATCTCGGTTCAGAGACATTTACGCTTCTGCACACAGTACGTTTGAAAGCTGGTTCTGTGCTTGTGTTCAACATTGACCCCTTCCCCAGCAAAGAGGATTAATACAGCATTTCAGTTTGACATTACGTCTGTTCCTATCCCCCACTCCCTGCTTGTGTCCTGCTCCTTACATGAACACACAGACCATACACCAGAGACATATGGCACTCTTACAGAAGTCACTGGGGTTAACCTATGTGAAACTGTTGCCTGGAGAGTATTTGCTTTCCTTCTCGGATGGCTGGCGTTGCGGACGCGCTTACCTGGCTGTTTTGTTGACATCTGATCTCAGCATTTTCACTGCTACGAGAACCGGCTGGTGAGTGAATTCTGCAGGCGAGACTCCCAGGAATTCCAGCAGGCCATCGGCCTCACAAAGGTGCACCTGCGGGGCAGAAGGCAGAGGCAACTATGAGACCATGCACAGGCAGAAAACCAGAGGAAAATAACGTCACACTGAGGCCACCAGTGTGGTCACCGCTGGCAGAATGACCAAGTGAATGATCTAATGAAGGTGACACTGTTCTGGTCAGAAATAGCCCATAGGTTGGCCCTAGATCCTGGACAAAATGTGTACATACACTGTATAGCCCATGACGTAGGAATGCACACGGATTGCAGCCTGATGTGTTCCCAGTGCACTGAACTTACTGCATGCATACAGACTGGTGCAGTAGATTACTGGGGCAGTCCAAGTCGCCCAGCAAGTACTGGAGATGCTCAGGAAGGCCACTGTGCCTGGAGTTGTCTGCTTTACTCTGCATGCGCATGCAAACAGCAGGGCTGCAGCAGGTTTGGCATGTACAGCACATCACACCAGCCATGCAAGTCCAGAACCGTCCTGCAGCCTGGCTTGAGTCACTCCTCAAACTTAACTGAGGAGCATCCAGGAATAACAGAGAGCTATTCAAAGTCCTCCAATTCCAGAAAAAAAAAAAAGTGTGCGTGCGTGTCTGTGTGTGCATGATGTGAACACTTCATGTGTGACTATACCCAGAGATGAATACTCTGATGAGTACACAGAATTCCAAGTTTCTTCAGATAAAAAAAATGAATAAAGACATAAAATTACTGCTAGGGTTGTATAAGAAGGGGTAACAAGACACTTGCTTAAGAAGTTATCAGAATGCATATTGAAATGGAGAACTGGGCAAGAGATGCTGGGGTGCAGAAAGCAGACAGACCCAAGTGTGTGGGATAGGAAAAAGGACTGGAGGAGGGGAGCAGACGGGATGTGTCAAAGACTTGCAGCAGTGAGGGGAATGCAATGGGAGCTTAATGAATTTTATATTAAGAAAGCACCAAGAACTTATGTGACAAGCATGGTGAGGAGAAAAAGGAGACAAACAAAAATGGGACAAACCCACAGAACAGAAACAAGAGTACAAAGATGCTGCTGCAGTTACATGGAGGATGAAATCTGCTGTGGTGAAAGTAGTCACGAGACTAGGAATAGGAGAGAGAGGCACGGTACTAAGCGCGTGTATTACAAGCACAGGTAATGTGTCACTGAGTCCAGGGAGTGGATGATTTGGAGCAAGGAAGAAAAAAGATTGAAAGGGAAGGAAGCTCTTGAGTGGAGAGGTGAAAAAAAGCAATGAGCCATGTTGCTAGAGGCAAGACTGCACACTAAGCCAGAGCAGTGGAGCAGAGCGTATGATGATGACCAGTTTGGTAAAGACTAAGAAGGTGAGAAGGAGAGACGGGAGAACGCGATGCAGCACGTTTGCAGAAGTGAGGGAA